GTTTTGGCTCTGTCCAAAATTGGAGAGTGTTATATTTGGTCCAAAAGTCCAATTTATTGAACAAAGAGCTTTTTATGATTGCAGAAAATTGACATCAATTGAGTTTAATAGTAATATTTTGCAAATCGGTGAATCTGCATTTGCCAATTGCACGAGTTTGACTTCGTTTAATTTCACCACTGATTTGACCACAATTGGTGATTATGCTTTTCAATTGTGCTCTAAGTTAAATGTGCCTCCGTTTGTTTTAGGTGAACAATTTGAATACATTGGCAGTTATGCATTTCATGGATGTTCTCAGATAACAGGTGTTACATTCAATTCTCTCGTACTCAAGAACATCAGTAATTCGACATTTTTAAATTGCATAAACTTAAAGACAGTTAATTTATGTAATTCAATAGAATATATTGGCGGTTATGCCTTTGCTTATTGTTCTTCTCTTGAACAAATTGTATTACCTACAAGCTTAAATTATCTTGGAGATTATGCATTCTTTCAATGCTCAGGATTAGTATCAGTTGATATAACTAGTGATATTACTACATTAGGTACTCAAATATTTTATCTATGCCAAAGTATCACTTCAGTTGATTTAAGCCAATTGTCTCACCTCGGAAAAATTATGTTTTATGCTTGTAAAAATATAACAGAAGTCAATTTTGGTGATAAAATAACTACTATCCCAATTTTCGCTTTCTATTCTTGCTCCATCAGATATCTTGAATTTCCTAAGCAAATAACATCAATCGGAGAAAACTCCTTTAAAAGTTTACAAAATTGCGAATACATTAAGTTAAATGATAATATTAAAACAATCCCAAGCGGTGCTTTTGCAGGTATTAAAATGGAAGTTTTATATTTGGATGCACACATTGATGTTATTGAAAGTGGGGCATTTAGTAGTTGTACATTCACCGAGCTTATATTACTTAATGTTAATCAGATCGCAGAAAATGCTTTTTCAAGTAGTACTATTGATTATATCTATCTTGGAAAAGGTGTCCAAAAGATCGATAAAAATGCTTTCAAAACTTCAAATAATGACGCTAAAATTACTATTTGTTTAGTTGATCCGACCGTTATGACTTTTTATTCCAATTCATTTAACGTAGATATTAGTTCTTTCTATTTCCATGTTCCATTAAGTTCAACAAGTAGTTACACCAAAAATGATTTGTTTTTACATACAGATAAGAATTTCTTTGAATATGGTGAAATATCTGGAGAAAAAGGCCAAATGATATGGATCAGGCGCTTTCATTATAAACCAGTGGTTAAAACTCCTACATATGTTATTTCTATTTACGGAGATGGCAAGACAGGAGAATTTGCTGATTTAGAGTTCTTTAATAGAAAACAAAACCAATACCCGTACACATTAAATATAACTACAAGAATCACTTCTTTTAATTCTATCGTCCAAGTACTAAATAATACAGAACGAATAATTATTGGTAAAAATGTAGTTGACAATTTCTTTGATTCCAACGTAATCAATAAATTACCAGAAACCATAAAAAGCTGTTCTGTTAACCCAGAAAATCCATATTACACAGCATCAGACAATATATTGTACTCAAAAGACATGAGAAAATTAATTTATTGCCCACCATTATGCTTTTCGCCTAATTATAAGTCATACAACATTCCAGATGGCGTTAAAACAATAGGTGAATATTCATTTTACAATGCTACATTTATTAAAGGTATAAATATTAGCGATAGTGTAGAAGTAATTGGTGAGCATGCGTTTGGCCAATGTAAAAATTTGGCAGAAGTTGAAATTGGTTATAATGTTTACAGTATTGGAGATGGTGCATTCCAACAACTAGCAAGTAATGTTTCAATTTTTTATCATGGATTCATTGAAGTATCGTGTACTCAGAATGCTTTTGATAGTTCAATAAAAATTAATGCTTCAGTTGATTATCCATATGATAATCTCTGCGGAAATGAGCTTAATAAGAATATGAATATCGTTGTGCGAACTCCAGTTGCAACGATACCACAAACTCCAGCACCTACTCCAAAACCTTCCTCTACACCATTACCAACTGCAACACAAAGTCCAACTGCAACACAAAGTCCAACTGCTTCACCTTTTGCAACACCAACTAAATCAGCAACTGCATCACCAAGCAAATCGCCAACAGCAACACCACTTCCAACATTCACACCAACTAATTCAGCAACCCAGTCAGCAACAAAACCACCAACTAAAATTCCATCTCAATCACCAACCAAACCACCAACTAAAATTCCATCTCAATCACCAACCAAACCACCAACTAAAATTCCATCTCAATCACCAACCAAACCACCAACTAAAATTCCATCTCAATCACCAATCGAACCACCAACTAAAGTTCCATCTCAATCACCAATCGAACCACCAACTAAAGTTCAATCTCAATCACCAACACCAATTGTTATCACATCTTCTAATTCACATTCACAAATAGTGCCTCCAATTTCGCACTCGCAAACAGAAACCATTCCGTCTGAAAATGCTACTATAGAACAAACACCAGTCGCATCAAGAAGCCCATCACCATCGAGGACTGCTTTCCCACTCGTCACCAAGCCACCGGTTAAAACGCAAGAAGTCAATTTGTCTATTTTCGTTCAAGACGGAAATAAACTAACAATTCTCACAAACAACACAGAAGTCTTTAACAATGATGATGTATCGTACAACATTCCATTAACCAACGAAATCAAAGATGTGACAATTAATAATGCAGAAAATAAGAATGTTGCACTTGTCATTCCTCCAACTGCGACTGAGATAACAATTGATACAGCCAACGAATCCACTTCTAAATCATTCGACATCGTTGTTCAGTCAGATGATTTAACGGTTAACCTTGGCAAGGACACGTTGGCATCAATCGAAAATGCAACAGGAACAGTTACAATTAATAAGTTGCAAGGTCAAGAAGCAGAAGTAATTCAACTCGAAAAGGTGACACCTAATTCAGACTCATTCACAATTAAACCAAACATCCCAGTCAAAATCAAAGAAGTTGACATCTTAGGCGAGCAAGGTCTACAAGTTGATGGAGATAATAAAAATAAAGTTGAAGTTGAGAATGTCAAGGTTCAAGAAAATTCAGTCGGTACTATTAAAAATGTTGAAGTTCAGAAAATCGTGTTTGGAACATCTTCTAGTTTGAGAGTCGAAAAAGTTCCACTTGCAAATGCTTCAATCGACGTCACATATAACAGCAACACAGTTGAAGCAGGAACAGGAAAGCCAATTTTGGCTGGCGATTTGAAAGAATCACCAAGTGAAATCGTCATCACTCAACGTGACAACCAGTACCTCGATGAATATGAGACTCTGCTGATTGCAGAATCAGCAGATGATGTGTTCATGTGCGCTGATTGGGCAGCAACTTTCAAAAAAGGTCCATTCAAATCGAAGTTCAATGATGCTGAATGCATAAATATAACAAGAGAACGCAGCAACGACTTCGTTACTCAACTCGTTGCAAAGGCACCAAAATCTGTTGGCAAAAATAACAATGGAAACAAGCTTTCTGGTGGAGCAATCGCTGGTATCGTGATTGGAGTCATTGTCGTCGTAGGAGTTGTTGTCTTTCTCGTTCTTTATTTCCTCGTTTTCAAGAAGAAAAACAATGCTACTGATAGTAGTGATCAAAATCCTACAGACTATCTCTAAAATTGATAAAATCATTGATATAAATGAAAATGGGATTTATAAAATTAAGCATAATTTATGATTTTTTTTTAAATTCATTTTTTTTCGTCTTATCTCTGAAATAATTCAATTTGATTTATTTATTTATATAATTGAATCAGTTCATAAATGAAGTTACCTTTAGTTATATAATTTCCTTTATGTACACTTTTCTTCAACTGATGCGTTTTCTTCTTTGATATCTATCGTATTGAAAAAATAAGTACTGGTTGAAAATAAACTGGTTTTCACACTTACACTTTTCCCGTACCATTCAAAAAATTGAATAAAATTCATAAAATTATTTTTAATTTTCTATGAAATTGAATTGTTCGGAAAAATGCAACAAAGAAAATTGAGATTTTTATTTTTTTAATAATAAAAAAAAAATAATCATTTACAAAATGAAAGATTATTTATATAAATTGAAAAGAAAAAAATAAATCTCACAAAATATTATTTGTAATTTTGGAAATGTAAATAAGCGAAATAGCATATTTCTCAGTACGTATCCTTATATTTGCCTTTGCAATAAAAAATATGATTATAAATAATAATGAAAAACTTATTATAATTTTTTTCACCTCATATGTATGAGTGGCGGCTTTTCGATAATAACTTGATTGGTAAATTTTGATAATTGATGAAAATTGAAGATTTTTGTATATTGCTGAAATTTTACAAATAAAAAAAATAACGTTGAAAAATAGGTGGAAAATCGGTGAATAGTGAGAATTTGCAATACTTAGTAGCCATTCATTATAATAAAATGTGTGAAATTTGGTTATAAAAAGTGATCAATTGAAAAGGAATTTGAACATTGCTAACTTTTAACTGAATTTGATCGTTTAATTGAATAGATGCAAATTTTTATTGGCGTAAATCACATATTTTAATGGATTTGATATTCTGGATTTTTCGAATTTGGAAAAACAAATTTAAAGGCACTAACCTAATATTTGAACTTACTGCAATTGAATTTCCTTTACAGTTGTTCCTCTTTTGTAACGACAAAATCCACTTTCGTAACGAAAAATGTAACCACCAAAATTTTTGTCACTTAACTTTTTGATTTTATTTCCACTTTCGTAGGATTAGGTTTCAAACTGACTGCTTGGCTATTATCAATCCTACTTAATTCAAAATTTTGAGTTATCAATTTTCAATTGAAAACTATGAGGTTTTCAATAGCTTATCAATTTTCACTGTATAAAAAAAAATTGAATGGTACGGAAATTTGCATATAAGTTTATTCTTTCAAGTTGCTAAAAAGTTTCTTAAAAAACCAAAAAAACTGGCCAGCCGGGAATCGAACCTGGATCTTAAGATTGACTATCTTACACTGCTACCATTACACCACCGATCATTTTAATAATCATCATACAAATGATTAAATAATGTTCATGAGTATTTTTTTCATTGAAGAATATTGATTACATAAGGATATCTCTTATGAAAAGATATATAGCAGTTGATAGGCAATGTATCTTCTTTGATGTTGTTCAAATAATTGTGAATAATATTTAGAGTTATTGCTTCAATGTAGAAATAAATAAGTCCACAAATGGCTGTTTATTGAGGTTTGACTTAAGATTGTTCGAGTTGCTGATATAGTTTAACGGAAATCAGTTGAAGATGTGCTTTATATATTAATTTGCGGGTTGTTAATAAGTTTTTCTAAAGTACTTTGATGATTATATATATATAATGATTATCATTAATGAATGATTGTTTGTTGAGTTCATTGATGAAAAGGTCATGAATGAAAGAGTAAGAATAACCAGCATGAGCTTCTTTTTGATAATCTGTCTATGCTAATTATATTTATAAAGTATTATAAAATTCAAATTGTCTTTCATTAATTGTTTGCTAAAATTCAGATGGGTTTTCTATCCACTTTTTGAAAGGTCATGAATGAAAGAGTAAGAATAACCAGCATGAAGCTAGCTTAAGAGAGCTTCTCATGGAAAGTAAAAAACCGCCATCTTAAGGTGAAATTTGAGTTACTATGTTAAGAAATTTAACCAAAAAAATCGTAAAATTTTAATTTTACCTTAAAATTATAACAATTTACTTTTTTTGATATAAATTTGTTTATTTTTACATAATTTTTAGAGGATATACGCACCAGTGATCACCCCGGGCTGCATGAAGCCGAATCTGGTTCCTTGAATTGCTGGATGAATCGAGAAGCTATTTGAACTGTATATTTATGCTATCTTTAGTAAAAATTGAATTAAAAAAGTATAAAAAAGTATTCAAAAAGTTTAAAAGTTTTCAAAAAGCGGTGTAGAAAAATTCGATTCCCCAAAAATTTTAAAAAATGCGCTTTTTAAACAATTGAAAAAATCTTAAAAGTTTTCTTCTTTTTTTATAAAAAAAATGTGTATTATTTATTGGATACTTTTATATATCTGCCTTCAATAATTTCCTTTCTCTTTTGTTAGATGATTTGATTATCTTTTATAAAAAAAAGATAGAATCCATTTGATTTTTTTTTGAAGGAACTATTAGCCAGCAATATTCGCTTATTTTCAGAGATAAGTGATTAATATTCACAGTATAATAAGACATTGCATACAAAAAAGCAGAAAAATTGACAATATATCAAAATATTTTATATTTTTCTTGATATTTGTTTTATTAAAAAATTATTCTTTGCTAATTAATTGATTTTTAAAAATTAAAAAAAATATTAAAAATATAAATTATGTTTTCCGATAAAGATATTTTAAAAAAAAATTAATTTAATTAAATAAACTATTCAAATTATTTTAAAAATTGAGAATAACGTCCAATTTACAATCCAATTTCAAATTTTAGATTATATCGTTATTTCAAATTAAACTTTTTGTATGTTTTAAAATCATTGAAAATGCTGAATCAATCTTCTTTCACATTTGACGCTGAAACGGAAAATGTCAGCGTGATTGATATGAACCTCAGCAAATTTCCTATTAGTCCCCCCTTAGAAAACAAAGTTAAGTACTTTTATTTACGGGGAAACAGGTTTATCTCTCTCCCAGAAAACATGAAAGAGATTATTTTTGTTGATTTATCGAATAATGGAATGGGTCCATTGCTACCAGATGATATTGCGAAGGCGTTATCATCATATCCGAAATTAAAGACTTTATGTTTTACCGATAATAAGTTAGAGAACTTACAAGATTTTTTCAAGAACGATAACATCGATTCATTTAATTTAGCGCAAAATCATTTTCATGAACTCCCAGAGCACTTTTTTGAGAATTTTCCGAAATTAGAAACATTAACATTTGATTGCAATTTTTTAATTAATTTTCCACAACAAAAATCCGACTCAGTTATTACGCTTTCAATGCCATTAAACCGCATTGAATCAATAAGTTCTTCCGACATTTACTTCTCTCATCTCACGACTCTTGATTTATCAAAAAATCGTATCAAAACATTACCAAATAACTTCTCAAAAAGTTTCCCAAAATTAAGTTATTTAAATTTAAGCGATAATCTAATTTCTCAAATATCCGAAGACGATACAGATGACTCGGTATTCCCTCAAACTCTTCGAATTTTGGATCTTTCAAACAATTTCATTGAAAAGTTCTCAAATTCAATCACATCGATATCCAATCTACTCATTTTAAACATAATCAACAATAGAATTACATGTATTCCACAGTTACAAGGCAAAATCAAAAAAATTAGAGCCTCGCGAAATCTAATCAGCAAGATTGAAAACCAAGAATTGAATCTAATCAAGCACTTCACGTTAGCACATAACGGTCTAACCGAATTTCCCTCAGAAATCAAGATGAAAGTTCTCGAGACTTTCAAAATTAGCTACAACCTAATAACCGAAATTCCAAAGGTCAATTATTTACCCAAGACGATCACAAGGTTTGACATCTCGTTTAACCAGATCAAGGAGGTGCCAAAGGAGATCTTTCAAAACTTGCCTAATCTGGAGATCTTCTCGGTGCAGTTCAACAAGATAGAGTCGATTCCGGCCGAGATTGAAAGCTGCAGGCGACTTCGCCAATTGAATGTGTCTTATAATCCTATCAAAAAGTTACCACAGCTACCTAAGTCGATAGAAACGATATCAGCGTCGAACTGCCAGCTTGACACACTTGACAACGTTTTCCAATTTCCTGAAAAAACCGCCGAAAACGATAGCCAGGCCATTCAATTCAAGCTTCATCTTTCGCACGCTGACTTCAGCGGAAACAGCCTTCAATCTTTCCCAGATATTGAGAGCATTCAAATTTTGAATCTCTCTCAGAATCGCCTCAAAAAGTTGCCGTGCTTAACCGGAAAAATTGAAATCTTGGACGTCTCAATGAACGAGCTCGATTCAATACCAGAGGCGATATCGAGTCCAAGGCTGATCGACCTCAATCTCTCGCACAACAGGCTGACGCAGTTCCCAAAGTTCGGAGAAGTTGGCAAGCTTCGTTACCTAGAACTGTCGAGTAATCCAATTGAAGGGATATTTGGCCTTACAGATCTACCGTCTCTTGAGCGAATTGACGTGTCAGACACGAAGATCACGATTGGCGAGAGCCACGAGCGTCTTCTCGAGCTCATCACATATAAAAGTGACTCAAAAATTTCCACTTTTTCAAAGAAACCGCCACAAATAAACTCACCACTTTTACAGAGGCCGATATACGTTAACCAGACAAAGAACAAAAGCGGTTACTCAGAATTTCTTGGTCTCAGAAACGAGATGGAAGACTCAATCATCTTGCGAGACGACCTGAACTTGTACGGCGTTTTTGACGGGCACTCTGGCCCAGACACCGCCAAGTTTGCCTCGATTCAATTGTGCGATCTTTTTGAGAAGGGCGATAAATGTAAACCATTCGATTATTTGGTCGTCAGTCAGTTCATATTATCATGCTTTGACCAGACAGAGGAAGCGCTCGAGAATCTCGAGTTGCCTGACGGTTCGACTCTCTGTTTGGCCTTCATTTGTGACGATGATGATCGTCGCGTGATTGTAACGGCTCACCTCGGTGACACCCGTGCGCTGGTCGTCTGTTCTGACGGAAAAGCGCGCGAGTTAACAAAGGACCACAGACCAACCGAACGTAGCGAATATGAGAGAATTCGCGACGATTTCGGTAATCTCTCAAAAGACAATAGAATTGACGGTGTCTTGGCGGTTTCAAGGTCAATTGGTGACTTAAGAATAAACGGTGTCGGAAGAGAGCCGGAATTGAATATGTTCGAAGTTGATGTGAGAAAAGACAGATTTTTGGTGATTGCTTGCGATGGCGTGTTCGACGTCCTCTCCAACGAATGCGTCGCTGCTATCGCTTCCGCTGCTTCGTCTCCAAAAGAGGCAGCGTTCAGCATCAGAAATGCAGCTTTCGCTTCGGCATCAACGGATAATATCTCAGTCATTGTTGTTGATCTAACAGTTTAATAAACGAATAATGATTATTTTTATTATTATTGATTTTTTCTGAAGAGATGCAAACTTTTTGAATATTCAAAAATCGATTCATTATTAAAACAGCTTCATCAGAGCAATCGTCTTTATGTCCTAACGCTTTTTCTGAGATTTTTTTTTTTTATTTTTTTGGTCAACAATCACAGATAATGAATAATCATCGATTATGAAGATTTGCTGTTGATGATTCTTCTTATTCTCTGATTGTTCATCACATGTCATTTTATATTATTAATAAAGAAAAATAGAAAATGATGAACTGTAAATGATGAAGAAATACAAATGAAAAAAAAAAAAAAATCAGAGGATAAGAAGAATCATTTCCCCAGAAGTTTACATGAAGTTTTTATTTAGAAATTATTTTTCCCATTTATTTCGTCTCTTCAAATCTCGAACTGCATTATCATATCCCTTTTGGCATATAAGTCCTTCCTGATAGGCAACTACTACATTAGCTTGCTCCCATGTAGCTTTAGGATTCTTCCTCATATATTCATTTATTTCTTCTCTCAAAGAGCCGGTTGTTAGACCAGCATTGACAGCATCACCAATTGCATCAGGTTCCAAATAATCTTCTTGAATCATTTCCCCCATTGATCTTAGGAACTCTTTTATTGCCTCCATATTAATAATGTGAAGTGACTAATAAAATTTTGAATTTTTTTTCAAATTTTCCATTCTTTTGTTTCAAATGGAAAATTTGAAAAAATTTTTGTTTGAGACATAAAAGCTTTGATGTATTCCTATCTCACTCGTAAAACTTTCAGTTTTTTTTTAAAGAATTCTGAAAATACCTAAAAATTCTCATGGATATATCGATATTTAATAAGGGCATTCAATTTTAGATTATTCTAAGAAAAAATTCTATAAGTTCACTCAAATTTATGTTTTGGGAAATTCATTAAATTGAAAATTTCAAGATG